TCCTCGTGCTTGCCCTCCACGACGACGCAGCCCTGGTCCTTGAGCACCTGGACGGACAGCTCCTCGGGAAGGAATTGTTGCACGTCCACGTTGATGAGCAGGCCGTCGTCGTCCTTCCTGGCGGCCTCCTTGGCCTGCTGCTGCTGCCTCCGCTGACGCAGCTCCTGGGCGCGGCGGGCGGGCGCCGACAGCTGGCGCCTCAGCAGGTGTCGCGGCCGGATCACGAGGTGGTGGTGGGCGGGGACCTGCTCGGGGTCGTCCAGGTCCACGAGGCGCAGCAGGCCGCGGGTTGGTGCGAGAGCCGGGTGGACGACGTCGCGGTACGTGAGCAGGTCGTCGAGGAGGCCGTAGTCGTCGCGCTCCCAGCGCGGGCCGTGGCGCCGGCCGTCCAGGGCCGCGGACATGTCGTGCAGCTCGCTCAGGATGTAGGGCAACAGGGACATCTGCGATAGAATAGACAAGCCGGTTAGCCACTAGGTTGACGAGATGTGAAGAAGCCTGGCCGAAGCCTTCACAACGGCGTACTTTAGGGGGAGACGGAGAGCAAATCTTACCTTGACTGTTAACGAAGCGAAGATGTGCAGATGAAATGGGAGTAGAAATTAGTCTTGAAGAAGACTCTGCTTGAGAACTTGCTCAGAAAATCGTAAGGCAACACTCAGGTTCGACTCGATGATGATCGCTCTGAACGCGCACAGAACTCTCAGTCGCAGGGAATGCCGGGGATGAACTGACAGCTCGGTGCCGGGGCGAGCGGTTTTATTGGACGGCGGTCGCGGGAGGGGGCGTGCCGCGGTGGTGGGGGAGCCAGTGACTCGCTGCGCGCGCGAACTAGCGCGAACCGTCCCGGGCGTTCGGGAATGTTCGGGCGCCGAGCGGCGGCGGCCGAGCGGCTTCGGGTCGCTTCGGGTGCAACCGCGAGGGAGTGGCGGGAAGAATCGCGAGACGTGGGGAAGGCTCCAGAATGGGGTAGTAAGGACGCTGCCCTACCGGGAGAGGGGGGGGGGGGGCAAACAGCTGATCCGCCTGACGTCTGCTGTGCCTTGGCTGTGCTATGGTGACGCGTCGTGGGGCGGCGGCGGTGTTTCTTGGCTGATGAAAATATTTTTGTTGTTAGGCGAAGAGCGAACTTAGATTTCCTGCGTGATGTGAGAGAATATATTTAGATCTCGGCACCATGTTGAGGACAGCA